TAATAATATTTTTTTAATATAATTATTAATATATGTTATAATAAATGATATATAATTTATTTATAATATTTACAAAAATGATAAGAACTGCTAAGTCAGTCACTAAGCGGTTTGGATAGTGAAATTACAATATACATACTAACATTTTTAAACTTGTGATACCTATCTTTAGAATGAAATGTCCGTATTTAATAATTCAGAAAGTTATATAAAGATCTTGAAACAGTCTTAAATATGAAGTAATTTTTTTTTTAATAAAGATTAATACAAATAAAGAGCCTTTTCTAGCGGCGGCAATTCAATCAAAATTTTAAAATAAAAGAACACTTATTGTGGCATACCGTAACAATAATATTTAGACATGTGCTGTCGCGACACTTTTTGTAAATAATGCAAATTCGTAGTACATTATTTTATTCTATCATCAATAGTTTTCGCAGCACACGCGATGTAAAGAATATTTTATGTAATTTTTGTACACTTTGGTAACATTATTGAAGTTTTAGTAAGGATCCCTAGTTTTTGAGCCTATGTCATTCGGGAAAAATAGCTTCACAAAAGTGAAAGAAATATTCAAATCGGTTCAGTAGTTTCGGAGCCTATTCAATGCCTACAAACAATCTTTCCACTTACATGGTATGCGGAGTGGGTGTTATTAGGTTTTATTTTCGTTACGGAATTTCTTCATTTGGTCGCCACACTCAAAGCCCGCGATAAAAGCTATAAATTAAAAATCTGTTATCTTGTCTTATAAATGCATACGTAATATCATGTACATAAATACAAGCAAGTATACTATATTTTATATTAGGTAACAGATGCGCCCGTAAATACAAAAAAGGTATAAAATGCGTACATGTTTAACCAAACATCACATCGCTCCTCCGGTTTCATTCCTGAGCGCTTCAAACGCGACGCTTTTAACTTAAGAGTTTTTCTTCATGTCAAATTGGATTGGGAGCTGCTTTCCGGGCGAGTTGTCTTCCGTTCACCGCAAGAGCCTGACCTTAATGCCCGGTAATGTTTCCGTAGTGCAGGTAAGACAATAAAGTTAACTACGGACCATTTCATTGTTTAAGTAAACGGGCTATTGTTTCACTTTGAAGCGCTGCATGCAAAAGGTACACTTAGTTATGCCATTTCACGCGAGCAAGAATTGGAGCCGTTAGCGTGTTTTTTTGTACCGAATAATATTACTTAATAACATATGCAATGCAAATATATGTCATTTTAATTAAGCCACGCGAGGTCCAAGACTCGCAATGGCAATGAAAGTTTTATCTGACTAACGACCGGTTTCTGGAACACTGATAATCGTAGAAGTTAACTAATCAGCCGTCAAATTGCGTCAATCCATTTGGCAATTCAAATCTTTCTTATCCATTAAACGAGCAATTCTTGTATAATTATATATAATTGGAATCTCGGAAACGGCTCCTGCGATTTTCATGAAATTTAATATGTGCGGGGGCGAAAAATCGATCTAGCTAGGTTTCATTTTTGGAAAATGTCCTTTTATGCCTGTTTTCAGGGAATGAAATATATCATTCGAATATGACGGTAAATTTTGCCGCAAAAAAAAATGTTATAATAGCTTGGTCGTTATCGGGCGGCCCCAAAACAGACGGCCGTGGTTAGTATCTCGGTTCACACACTTATTTTTTTTTTACTTTTTTTTCTATACCAGATTGCTTTCTTCTTATTCTTATTATTTTATTTCCAAAATACATGTTTCACCAAAAAAAAAGCCGAGCAAAGCTCGGTCCTCCAGGTACTGATATTTGAAAAGCCATTTGACAACTGATTAGTAAATTTCTACAATTATCATTGTTTCAGAAACCGGGCTGATAGCCCAGCGTTTATTTGTATCTACCTGAAAACCGCGCTTTATGGTCTTTCGTGTATATTTAGTGATTTTTAATTTTTATCTGTCAAAAAACTGACTATTATTTACAAAAAGCAAGAGAATATTTATTAAGAAATAGTCTTTTTAAAATTGTTCCTGTTCATGATTTTTACCTTGAATTAATATTTTTTGTTCTTTGATATAGAAATATAAGCTAACCCCAGAACATTTTGCCGTTAAATGAGGTATTTTTCCTTGTCTCTCTTTCTCTCTCTCTAAAGTTTTTGGGTCAGAAAACGAAAACGACTATTAACACCCGGATGTTTTATCTGTATATTTTTTTTTCCGGAGATGAAAGACCTAAGTATTAGGGAGCTAATGTCAAATACCTATCGCTAGTAACCAAATCTACAGATTTATTTAACCACAATATCATCTTACATTTATTAAATATTAGCTGAACCCAGCCATATTTAGTTCCGCTTTATTTTCGGTTACTTTGGAACTTAGTAATCAAAAGTGTATAAAACACACTCCTGTTCGATAGCTATATAGTGAACATATATCAAATCAATACAAAATTATTATACATAAAAATTGCATAACAATTTTCATATTAATTCTGGCATTGTTAACACAACTACTTTAGAATAACTTCTTCTGTAAACAATAATAAATGGAACGTACCGATTGCCTAACTGTCGTCGGCGTTATTTATTTATATGAAAAATTGAGCCTCAAATGACTGCTTATTATCTATTACTATGGGGAGAGTGAAATATGGATACTTTTTGTTTATTATTACAAGGCCTACGTGAATCCTTGCTGAAAAGGAAGTTATTTTTGCAATAAATTCACCGTAAACAAAACCGAAAATACTGAGGAGGTACGATGTTTCTAATTCAAACCGAATCCCACCTACTTTAATAGCATAAACACACTTTTGCAATCGTAAATGTTTTATTGAGCTCCGCTTGTCTGGCTATTGTTAGTTCCCATTCGTGTTAAGGACCGTCAAACGCGAAATTTAAACAAACAAGTTTTAAATTTAATAGAGTCTGATTTGAAACTAGAAAAAAATTATGACACTTAAAAAATAATCGTTTGCTTATTAATATGCGGTGACTATGAATGTAAAATATAAATAAATAAGTGCTTGGGCGGGTGTTTTACGTTTTATTTACATTTACGACCGTCTGCAATCAACTTTATTTATTTCGTTTGTGCACGTCAAGCGACCCGACGCTAGGTGATTCGCCCGTGCATACTAATCAACTTTTGCCACGTGAAGAACAATCAAATTCGTAACCGTAACTTGTGTAACATACGCAACTACACATTACTTTTTTTTATGTGAGAAGGTGACAAGCAAGCTGGCGGTTCACCTGACGTTAAGTTTACTGCCACCCATGGATATCACATTCCACTCCACGCCGGTCTTCTGTGAGATCGTGGTATGAATATAATTTATTGCACAGCAAAAATAAAACAAGCAAATTGGTGGTACTCACCCGGATGGACCTTCCTATTCGTGCCACACACAGTTATACATTTCGTTTGTTTAGTTGTACCTAAATATTAGACTGAAGAAGAGAAGTCTTTAAATTTTGAAGAAGAGAAGTCTTTAAATTTTTGTGACAAAAATTATAATTGACTTTCACTGTGCTGAAAGCAGCTCCTGCAACACCTGCTTAACTGTCTTCCAAGAGCTGACAAAAATAGCTATGAGGTTGAAAAATTTATACTTTTTTATTTTACCTGTTTAATGAGAACGGCAACACTACAACAGCACAACTGCAATCTCTTAACGTCCGGTAGACCGCTTGATAACCTCCATCTACTCCTACGAACTAAAACAAACTTTGCCAAGTTATTTATAATTCGTAGCTATTACACGTTGTGTAGTCTTTTCCCTACAGGTTAATTTGGATCACAGTAACAAACAGTGAATTATAATAATCTTTATGTTGTTCCAGGCAAGAGTAGATATGTATAGCTTGTAAATTTTTATCAACGTACTACTACTGCTGCGTGGCCCTACCACCGTACTTTACGGTGGCTTACGGTGGGTAGGGCCACGCAGCAGCCTCGGCTGTTGCACGAATGGGCAGGCCTCGACCTCACAAAAGATCAGCGTAAAGTGGAAGTATGACAAATACTTTCGCGTTTCGTCTGGTGAGTGAAGTAGCCGGGCCCAATTTTCAAAAGGTTGTCAACGCATCTGTAACCCGCAGGTGTAGCAGATGTCCATGGGCGGCGGTATTCACTTAACATCAAGTGACCCGTCTACTCGTTTGGCAACTTTTCGCATAAAAAAAGTACTAGTTAAAGTCAAATTTTCTAAGTGTACAAAATTTAAAATGCAAAAGCAGAATGGTAATAATTTAAATAATCACACTCTGAAATTATTGTCCTGGAGATAAGCAACGTTTAAAAATAATATATCGATGAAATGTGAACGGTATTAGCACACTTTATTCAAGTAGCCCTCAAAATTTTAACGCTATGGTCGTCACGTCCAGCTTGATTATTTAAGCGTAGTCTTTTTAACAAGTCTTTAGGATTGAACTTTGAACATCTAATAAAATGTTATACCAGTTAAGCGTTAATTGAAGTTTCTCAGTGGGACTGTAAAAGAACATTCAATAAAAAAATCGTCCTAGCAGATCTTGTTCATAAAATTATTCATAAAAAAGCCAGCTAAAAAAAATCACGGCAGTCCCATTTGCTTGCTGCTTTTCCATGTGTTAATATGTTACAAAAATAAACAATCATCTAGAAATAAAAACAGTAAAAAGCCGCTATAAATTTCGAGCGCATCAAACATTAGACTGCGACACAAAGTTTTGGGGACAAAGTGTGTCGTTTGCGGAAAAGCGGACACTAAATATAGGCGCGGGATTATTTCTGACGCTTCGTGTCGCGCCGCCCGCAATCCAGACACCAAACCAAACACATTACCGATAGCCGACTTTAGATTTGAACGCTCATCGCGTCGGTTTTAAAGTATTGGTTCACTTAAAGTTTTAGTGGTTGCACCTTCCGACCTGTTAATTGGTAGGAGGTGAACGTTCACAAGACATCTCTAAAGCAGTTTGTGATTTAGCTATTATAGTATTTTGACGACAATGTGAGCAGTTGCAAACGGATAAAGATGATATTAAAAGTGTTGTTGTTGATATTAGTTTCTTCAAAATGCGTACCGTCAGAAGTGTTCACGATTGGTTAGTACTGATATTATGTATGATAATCAATATATTTCTAAACAAATATGTTAACAATTCAAATGTAAGGTGCATATTAAATCAATTTTAAACTATGTTCGGTTTCATTGAATGGAAAGTTATAATATGCTATAATTAAAAATTATGCTTTGGATAATTTACTGTATTGAAATCAGAGAAAGCAATCTAGAGCATTAAGCGGCTTAGTTAATACTAATTATTCCAACAACATGTACACGTACATTCTCTATCAATCTTCATTGAAATATCAATACTTTTTTTAATTTCAGTTCCTTTGGGGACACAACAATTGTATTTTGCAGCACATTTTATATTAAAGTTAGGAAAATTTTAACAGAGACTATGTATAAGAAATAGTACCAGTAGGTACAGTAGAAATAGATAGTCATTTTTAAAATTTGAACTGTCTCAGATGTTAATTCTTAATATTATAATATAGATATTAGGAATTATAATAACACCTCAAGATCTTCTACGAAGGACTTGTTTTCAGATAGTGCCGCCAAGCTAAAGAAAGAATTGCTGAAATAATTTTCCGAAAATACTTAATTACTTTAATAATCACAGATTATTTTTATTCATTTTAACTGTTTTCGTCTGGTTAATTGTCAAACCCTGTTCTCCCGACCCACTTGTAGAAATTTAAATAGTATTATTAGTCCATGTATAAATCATACCTAAATTTATTGCACTCTTTACTCACAATTTTTCACTGTTTATCACTGATTTTTACTGTTTTTTAACTGTTATTTCATATTTCATTTTTTTTTTAAAGTGTTTAAATTTCGGATTTTGAAACAAAAAAATTGTTTTTAACTGAATTTTTTTGCCCGTTATATTGCATGCTGTCAACGCCTTTAATTGTAATGACATTAACGAACAGTTAATGTATATTTAATTTCCTTAATCTTAAATATTGTACATTATGTTGGCGTCCTTTAAATAAATAAAATAAATAATTATTTTTCACCTTTCAGGGGGAATCTTCTATTCAGATTCTGATGACTTGAAAGTGGCACTAACGGTTAGTTCTAAAATGTATGACTTCAATGTGTCAATAAAGGAATTTTCGAGAAATGGCGAAATTCTGCAACTTAATCATCTCGTATGTGAACTTGCAGAAGTAAGTATCTTTATATTTTGTATGACTTTTGTCAATGCTCTATAACTATATAGGATAATTTCAAAAAACAAGTTTGTAAAAATAGTGTAAATTAGAAACAAATCCTCCAAGAAGCATTTGAAATAATCTGCGCTAAATTCGTATTTTTTATATTATTTTTTATATGTGATAAAGTGGCAAGCGAGATGGCGGTCCACCTGATGTTAAGTGATAGCTACCGCCCATGGAAATTTGCATCGCCCGTAAGCTTGCACATGCGTTGCACTATACGTTAACAAGCAATGCAATGCACTCCTGCTAGCTCACGCTCCGAACCAAGTGCTCGTAATTAAATTCGCTCTATACTCACTCCCCCTTTCAATAACACTTAACACTAGCATGCGATGCTCTGTCAAATGCCAAACTCAATTTTGTTAAATGAACTGAATATTATTGATATTTTACCTACGAATTCAATAATATCGAATTCATGTTTTTATGAACGATATTTAAATATTATTATTACACTAAAAAAAATGGTGTCAAGAACGTAAGATTAGTATTTCTCGTTAAAACTCAATCTTATGTGAATCGAGGGGACATGTAAAGGCGGCTTATTTCTTGAATATACTTGTGACTAAAATACTTGTGTACTTCACACAATGAAACTTGAATTTTTGTTTATTGATAAGTAAGAAGAACTATTTTCTGTAGATTTAACCATGTTTATATTTCAATTCCAGGAGGGGGTGATTGGTATCGTAGATGGAACAGGGGGTCAATCAACAGAGTTCATTCAAGCCCTTTGCGATATATTGGAACTGCCACATGTCACAATAAAACACGGCGATATGAACGATAAAGCATACATACTAAATTTACACCCAAGTTCCATAGCTTATAACATGGTATGGTTTTAAAATCTAAATTTGAGGGATCATAGTTGTTTGAAGATAAAAATCATAGATAATAATAAAAATTTACCCGTTTTAATGAAAAGACCCTATTAGCACCCCTTAAAAGGAAGAAATATTTTATCAACGAAGGCTTGGGACCAAAATTAGTATGTTAATATCACATAACATTATAGACATTTTTCGTCTTAGTGTATTAAGACAAAAAAAAATTTAACTCGGGTGCTCGGATATAATGAATTAAAAGCACGCTCCTGGACATTGAATTACCACGGCTCCTATCTACGAGTATCTATAGCATTTTAGTTATAATATGTATATATGTATATTCTATACGCAACGCAAGACAACCTAGCCAAAAAAGTGTCAATAATTATAACAAAGATCACATACTGTATATATAAGTAATAAAAATATATTTTAATTAATTAGCATAATTAAACTATTAAAATAGAACGTAAATAAGAGAAATTATCATTATTTCAGTTGATGGAAAAATTAGTGGCACGAAAAGATTGGGAAGAATTCACTATACTGTACCTAAAAGGTTACAGCCTGATCCGTGTTAGCAGCTTATTAGAAATGAATACTCATGACGATAAATACATTATAACAGTAAGAGAACTTAGTGGTAATGATTACAGGTGAGATAAAGCCCTCTAAGGATGAATTAAAATTTTTGTTATATGACTAATTTAATAAATTTCTTTACTGACTTTGTTTCTCAGGGATGTACTTATTAGTGCAAAAGAAAGTGGATACACTAACTTTGTAGTGGACTGTCCTAAAGCTAATTTAGAGTTAGTCCTACAACACGCGCAAGAAGTCGGCTTGATGGCTGATGAACATTCGTATATATTTGTTACGACAGACTTATTCACTTTAGATTTGGATAGATACAGATACGGAGGAGTTAATATGACTGGTAAACATTAAAAATTACTATATGTTTACGGCTTGGCAGACTTCATATTAATCAGAAAAACATTTATTACGACTGTCTTGTATCTTGTATTAACTGATGTTTTTGCTTTCAGTCTCGAGACTATTAAAGCTTCATCTGACGCAGAACCGGTGGGCTAGCCAGAACCCACGGGTTTGGGCCCTCCGCTGTGTATGGCCGCGCATGTGCTCATGCGTGCGTTTAACTACGACATGTCATCTAAGGGCCATCGAAGTTGCGGTGCGGACCGAGACCCCGATGGCCGTCGACTGTGTTTTTAGCTAATCGGTGGCTGGGGGCGGTGAGAACCGCCCTGGAACGCGGGTGTACCTTGTGTACGCGTTGTGTTGGTCTCGCCGTGCTCGGAGGCGAGGACGAACTATTGTGTTTGTTGTTACACTAGCTGTGGGTGTGGTTTTATCTGGCAGGACCCCCGGCGGTGGGTCCGGCGTATCTAAGTCCCCTTCCTCGACCGGGTCGATGAGGACGATTCGCGGGCGACGCTTGTTGACGTTCGCGTTTGTGTCGGGTTGGTAATTTGCTGCGCTTACCACCAGAGGGTTGGGATGATGTTCGGCTCTATCGAAGAACCGTTTGGTCAGGTCTTTAAAATATTCGCGAATCGTCGGGAGTCTGCAATCGCTGTGCAGATCGACGTGTGTGGGCGAAGATCATGCATGCGTAGGACATAATAGGTCGTACGCAGGTCTTATATAATAATAATATGTGCCTTAGGGGCATTTTACTTTTAGTTAGTTAAATTGTGTAGCCGGCCGGAGACGAACGCGGTTCGATTACGAGTGTTATTAATGTGCGTAGTAAATGACATACGCGAGTCGAAAGTGACTCCTAAGTATTTGACCTTTTTCTCCCAGGGGAGTATTACGACTGTGCTATGGCCACGCAATAGCCTTCGCTGTTGCATGAATTTTAAAATACACTAGCATACTAATTCTTTGACTGTTATTATTACTAACTAAATAAGAATAAGGAAATAAATATAGATTTAGAGATCAAATCATCATCAGCCGCAAGACGTCCACTGCTGAACATAGGCCTCCCTCTTAGAACGCCACAACGAACGACACTTTGCCATTTGCATCCACCGGTTCCCCGCGACTCTTATGATGAGATCAAATAGCCAGTAAAAATGTCAATAGAAATATATCATAATAAATATTTTACTCTGCATTCCATTAAAAAGAATTTGTACATTAATACCTAATCGGAAATAAATATTCTCACAGTACAACTGTTTTATCTAAATGATGGTTAGAAAGTTTTCGTCCTTCGTGATTTCGTGGAATCCTTCCTCGCTCCAGGCTAAATAGCCTCGCTACTGGAAAGTAAAAGATCGATTGCTGCGAGTTATGCAATAAAAATATTTTTATCACATTTTACAGGTTTACGATTAGCTAATTTGGAACAGAACGACGTACTATGGAATTTTACCGAACATTTTAATCGGGAATCCGGTTTAACCCTTGAATCGGATCAACTTTCAAGTGAAATATTATTAATACACGATGCCGTAATGATATTTTCTAAAGCCACACAGAAGATGAAATACGGGTTGAAAAAACCTGAGGAGTTAAGTTGCGAGAATTATACCTCGTGGACTCACGGGTCATCATTGTTAAATTTTATGAAAACAGTACGTATGTATACATTAAACATATGTCTTCAGTTGATTTGAAAACAAAAAGAACACATATCTTAATTGCAGGATAAAGTGGAAGGTATTACGCGAACACTGACATTCGATGGATATGGAGATAGAAATAATGTTATATTTGATGTACTTGAACTCACACCTGCCGGAAACCAAACGGTTAGTACAGACTAGACAGGAAATAAAATTTAAAATCGCATAAATACAAGAAATTATTACACACCATTAATTAGAATATAACATGAAGTGTATTTTAATACACTTTTCATTTTTTTTTAAACATTGCCTTAATTTTGGGTAAACTTAACCTGTTTTAAGGACATTTTAAGAACATAAATTTCACGCGGACCAACGCCCAGATGCGAAACAGCTATGAGTCGCACAAATAGTTGTCAGTTTGTCACATGTGGGAATCGAACCCACGACCCCTGAACGCCGAAGCCAACCTTGGCAACTACGTTACAGAATCATCATGTTTACTTTATGTTTATAGATTGGTACGTGGAACAATAATAACCTGACAATTTCAAGACCGTTCTTAGTTTCAACAGAAATAGTTGAGGAGACTATCATGAAAAATAGAACGTTTAAAGTGTTAATTACCAGGGTAAGTAGGTACTTATTTGCCAAGTAGTCTCTACTTTAAAAAAAATTGCACTTAATATTGTGCTTAAGTGCAATTTTTTTTCCAAATTCTAGACTCCTCCATATGGATATGTCAAAGAGTCTTCTGACCAGTTGGAAGGGAATGATCGTTACGAGGGTTTCACGATAGACTTAATTGAAAAATTATCCGAGATTCTAGGTTTTGGTTACGAATTTGAAGTAGAAGATGAGTATGGTTCAAGAGATCCAGTCACACACAAATGGAATGGAATGGCTCTCCAACTCATGGAAGATGTAAGTGGCGTTAATTTGTATTTCTTCATAGAACTATATAATAATTGTATATTCAGCTAACATAATAAATACTTACTTCATAATACATTACTTCCAGAAAGCAGATTTTGCCATTTGCGATTTTACAATTACTTCTGTCAGACAAAGTGCGATAGACTTTTCAACACCATTCATGACTCTCGGAATTGGAATTTTATACAAAACTCCCAGCAAGCAACCGCCTGAAATGTTCTCATTTATGGCTGTATTCTCGAAAGAAGTAAGAGCTCAAGTTTTAATAAACTAATCTAAAAATTTAAATTTTATGATTAGTTTATAGTACCGTTTTGACATCTAAATGTCATTATAGGTTTGGTACTATATGGTATTAGTACAACTTGGGCTTGGAGTAATAATGATATTCGTCGGAAGAATCTCTCACAAAGAATGGCAGAATCCAGTTCCATGTATAGAGCAACCCGAAGAGCTGAGTAATCAGTTCAGCTTTGCTAATTCCGTGTGGCTAATTATTGGATCAGTAATGCAACAGGGATCTGAAATCGCCCCGATGTAAGTATTTATACACTTGGCCCCTCGCGTCATGCTCTTGCCTTTATCATGTTGTAAGTCATTTGGGATAGATTTAAGGGACCTTGTTCTAGTTGAAGTCCTTAAAAACAACCGCCTGGATTTAGAATAATTTTCAGTGGGTCATAAAAATACTTGTTCCATGTGGGAATCGAATCCACGACATCCAGAACTAAAGCTAATTACTAAATAACAGTGCCATCAAGTCATCAGTCTAGTTATTTCTGATATCCTGTTACATTTTCATGGCTCACTAAAAATTTGTTTCACAATTTCAGAGCTTTAGCACCAAGAATGATAACAAGTGTATGGTGGTTTTTTACGATGGTTATAGTTGCATCATACGTTGGAACCCTTGTGGCCTTTCTAACAGTTGAAAAGAATGTTCTACCTTTTGAAACCTTAGAGGAACTCTCCAAGCACAAGTCAATTTCATATGGAGCCAAAAGCATTGGATCAACCATAGACTTTTTTAAGGTTCTTTTATTTTTCATTATACTTATCGGGAATAAATATAAATCATAACATCTCTGTGTATAATTCGTGTGGGACTGACAACGAAATTTACACGAAAATAATACCTCGTAATAGTCGAAGATTTCCTAAATTTACTTGCTCTTAACTTCTTACCAAAGACAAAATAACAACTTTATTTATTATAACTTAGTAGATTTTAGTACAAACTTTTACATTTTATTGAAATCCATTGAGTGGTTGAGGTTTATAAGTAAGTACATTGTTTGATTAGAATATGCATATAAATAAAAAGGCTCATAAAATAATTAGGGTAATTGCAATAAAACTTGGGATACAATGTCCTGTCGTTATACCATGGTAATTCAATATACTCGAGTAACCTGAGTTCGAACCCCGGTCCAGCAATCGGCAGTGGGGTCGCGTGGTGGACTTTATCGTAATACACTGTGTATAGAGGAGGCCTCTGCAGTCTGCACAGCAGTAAGACATATATAGGCTGTTACTTTGCCTTTTTTATTATACCTTAATAGACACATATAACATTGCTAAGCTAGTGTAATATAATGCGTGAAGACATATCTTTATTAATTTTACAAATAAGTAACAAAATTGATTAGTTATTTACTCGATGAATAATATAAACTGGATCACCATTCAGTTTACATTATTCATCGATATCACCATATTAATGATGAAATTTGATGGTTGGCAGTAACATGAAAAACGAACAGTAGAACACTCCATTTGCATTTCGTTTTTCTATCATAATTGTTAAAAATATACTGGCATGTCATTAACACACGTATTTACAAATAATTAACTGAAAAAAATATTCAACGTCATTTGATGAATTAAATTGACCCCAAAAGTCGAAAACCTCTAACAATAAAAATATTAACTAAATCACACGTTATCTAACAATACAATTAATTCAACCATTCCATATATTCAGAGGCACAAATAAACTTACATACGTACACAGACAATGTCTTGCAATACTCGGTGGTAGGGCCACGGCGCGATTACTGAAGTTGCACAAATGGCCAGCTCGTCTGGGGAATTACCGCGGCCTCACAGAAGACTGACATGAATACGGAGTATTGTACATTACCAATTCGTCTGATGAGTGAGCCGAGCCCAATCTTTTAAACGTTCACAATACACCTCGCACACCGTCGTATTGGATTTTGTAGATGGATATGAGCGGCGGTAGTCACTGAACATCAGGTAAACCGCCTGCTAAATTACCGCATTATCACATGAAAAAAAACTTTGAAAATTTGTGGTTATATCCCAGTAGTATCTTAATAACTTAATGAGATTATGAAAAGCCTTTACTACTAAAACACTTCAGTTTTATTTATTTTTGATAACACAATAAAAAATAAAAAGTCAAGCACAAACTGTATCTGTCTCTCACCGTTTCAGAATTCACCTAACCCTCAACTCATGAATATGTACAAAAAAATGGTTGATAATAATTGGTTAGTTCCAACTAACGACATCGGGGTGGCAAAGTATGTATTTTGCTAGCATTGTTTTCTTATATAAGCGTAATTTTGGTTAAAATCATGTACTTTTACAGAGCTGAAAATGAAACGTACGCTTTTTTTATGGAATCGACTTCATTGGAATACTATAAAGAACGGCATTGCGACTTACTTCAAATAGGAGACCTTCTTGATTCAAAAAGTTATGGTATCGGTATGAAAAAAGGTAATTCCTTATGATTTTGCAAAAAGTTTAAGGTTTACGTGGCATAATCGAGATCTTAACGTATGCTATAAATATGTTATTAAACGTATACGTTGAATTTTTCTAATTTCTTTGTATAATTTTATGAAATTGCAGGATCTCCATATAAGAAATATATAGACTATGGTCTACTTAAGTTGAAAGAGACAGGGGATATTCAAAAGCTTAAAAATATTTGGTGGAAAGAGAAACGAGGAGGTGGTAAATGTGGGGTAGATATTATCTCTAAGGCTTTAATTCGAACAGATTTAATGTTTTACGGCATTCGTGTCTTATTTATTGTTAATGCATCGTCATTTTATTAAGTCGTGTTATCTCTTTTATTTGTTTTATTCTCATTTAACAATTCTAAAGGTCTATCTTAACGCAGACTAATTAGAAGTCCATTCGCTTTATCTTTAAAAATGTTATGGGACAGTAAATTTAAGACTTTACGTGAGTTTATACTAAAATATAGTTGAATAACAAACATAGATGTGCGCACTATGCCGATTCATTCCAATTTAATACTATTCGTCAGCATGGTATTACCTCTACATTAAATTTGATTGTCTAACTTCAGCATACGAATGTCCAAAATTGAGTTTCAAACAGGCATTACCTGAAAATACCGAGTAAATGTTAAAGTTGTTTGGGCGGGGTAAATACGTGAATTGAATCTCTGTTTGTTATTTTTACCGCTGGTTTCCGATCAATAAATATTTTTTCGTATATTACATTCGTATATTTTAGTTAGATAAATAATTTTATTTTATATTTAAATCAGGCAACTGCGTGCCAGTTGAAGTTTTATTTTCGTGTTATATAACAATGTCCATTTTTATGTTTTGCATTTTATAAAGTTATTACCCTTACGGATTCCATGGAATATGCCTTCCGTTTATTTGTAGATTAAACGTGACGAAGATCAAAAACAACTAGGATTGAAGAATATGTTGGGTGCATTCGTGGTCCTAGGCTGCGGCTGCTTGATTGGTCTATTCATATCCATTATCGACATGTTATGGGGTGTATTCAAACGTTCCGTGAAATATAGTGTGAGTAGATTTGTTATATTCTAACTTTGTCTCCTCTTGGTCTCCCCTTGCCCATATTGAGACAGCTCTATATCAGCTATAACTGCGATTATAAAATAAGTAAGTAATGCTTCAAACTGAAAAATTCATTAGTAGCTTAATTGGCAAAAATGTAAAAAAGCCTGTATTTAAAAGCAGCATTAAAAATGTCGTACATAATTATTATTATCATAGTACCGTCTACAACTTTAATTTAAAGTATAAAGAAAGATAAACATTTATCATTCTGGATGAAAATTGAAAAAAACTATCTTTTAGATTGAAATTATAGTGATTTTTCAAGCTAGTTAATTGCAACCGTTTCGCCACAAGCATCATAAATCTCATTTTCGTCTAATTTAAATGATTTTTACTTTTCACACTCATTCACTCGCATCTTTTTGATATAGTCGAGGCTAGTATTGAGCGGGATGTCGCAGTTATTAAACTATTCAGGGCCGTGGGTTTAATCGCCATACGGGACAAGTCTTTGTGAGACCAACAGATAATTGTTCCGCTGTTTGATGTTTTCTTCTCAAGGAGAGACGTTAGGCAGACGGCCGATCGTTAATAAACCTAGCAAATACCACTAACAACAAGATTCAGATATTGTGGGGGTGGGCACCTAGGTGAAAACGACATGAAGATGATAATGGTGGTTGAGACTTTGTACCTGCGATTTTGGTTCGGTTTCGGTCATACCCAATTAACAATCGTAAACTTGCATTACTTATTTTAAAACAACATTTTGCATCCGGCATATATTGACAGAAGGTCCAAAACACCCACAATAAAACGTATTTATAACGTATAGCAGATATCTCCGTCTTCACGATAGAAGTCAAAACATGCAAGTTTTTGTTTTTTGTTTTTTGGTATCGTCATCACAACGCCGTTTGATTCCAGACAACATTCAAATACGAGCTAATCGAAGAGTTGAAGTTCGCCCTGAAATTTAGCGGCGACATCAAACCGGTGAAGCGGCCTCCGAAGGACGATGGGAGCGCGGAAACGCTGGCGGAGGCTGAGAAAAAGGACGAAGTGAGGTCTTTGCGCTCGTTACGGTCGGGAAGGTCGACGGACACCCACAGAACTCATCGGTCGCATAGCTCTAGACACTCCTCCAGAAGTTTGAGTGTTGCTTTCGCCAAACGTCGCGAATACAGTTAACTTTTGAATTGAATTAATCTAATTGAATTGGTCTACTTTGATGTTACCTCTCATCATATAGCAAAATCATATAGCAAAACTTAACCTGTTTCGGAATAAATACTGTTAATCACATAAACATTATGCATGTTGTAAAATTTTAGTGATGTTGCGTTAGGGAGATTTTCAATAGGGGTTCTATTTGTGGGTACTTGGAATGACCGACCATTACAACTGATGGAAAATATTCATGACTCATCTAAATATTTTAACTAATGTAATACCTATCGTACATTTATGTAAGATTTTAAAGCGGAATAAAATTATTTTCCAACTTAAATTATTTATAATTGTTTCTATCTTATACTTTATTACTAAATAAGCGTTCACTGTATATATTTTTATGTCAAGAGTTGGCAAGCGTGCGGTTTCACCTGATGTTAAGTGATTACCGCCGCCTGTTGGAATCTAAAACACCCGTGGGAGATGCAGGAGCGTTGTCAACCTTTAAGAGATTGAGCCCCAGTTACCTCCCTCACCAGATGAAACACAAAAGTATATCACAAAAGACAAGGCCCCCCTTGACACCTACTTATCCGTATGAGCCTCACCATTTGCGTTGCAAACATTCGTTAAATCATCAATAACTTAATCTTGTATAATCTTTAATGAGATTTTAGTTGATAGTTTTCAATTTTTTATATTTTTGCACTTAAATTACGACCTCATCAGATAATTGTATCGATTATGATAATTTTATTTGCGCTGTAAACACAATTCAGAAACCAAGTCATAAATTAACTGAGGTTATTGATGTCTTGATGTCATAGTTGTGATTCACTGAGACATTTTTGAAATTAGACCTTTGTTATTTTATCATATTATAATATCCAATTAAAAGTTTTATGTATGAAAAATTTAATTGAAATTCTCGTTTAATAAAAAATATAAACTCAGATATCTGATACTTATTTAAAAAATGGTACTTACTAGAGTGATATATACGAACATTATATCAGTGTCCGTGGGAAACAGACACCGACCTCGGTGACCACAATCTTTCTTCGGGAGTCCATTAAGCTTATAAATTGCAAAAAAAAGTTCTGTTATAAAGGGTATCTAAGTATTCATAAATATTTATTGGTTTTAAAAATAAGACTAACAATTTAAGAAAAAGGAATATTATTCGGTACATGATATTATTTGCTTAGGGCTTTATTCTAATACGGCTATTTATAAACAAGAAATTCCTCCTATGCGTGGATTCCATGCAACAGAATCAATATCCTACATAAATAATATAAATACTTATATTCACCAAATATATTTGCGTTGGCGTCTATATCTTAATTAACACAGTGTGATTAACATTAAACGGTGATAAAGGTTTTACAGCGTTTACTACATACGGAAGTACACAAGATACATAAAATTACTTGAAAGGATTTTATATTTCCATTCGGAATTCATATGTTTTGGGAATTACGCCGAATAATCGTATCGTCGTCAACACATGACAAAGGGATAGAGTAGATCTTATTTATCAAGCAAGACCTTGCTAATTAAATGCCTGACGCATACTGAGAAAGTCGTCGCATTAATTTGGCCAGGAATTCGTATTGCACCCAAGCATTAATCTAGACGAAAATGGAGCTTCTCACGTAGAATATTACACCTAATGTATTTTATACACGACATCTTCAGTTATAATACGGAACCTAAGTAAATTTACGCATTCGAGCTATTTGAATGGCGTTGCTTTGCCTTCTGCTGTGTACGTTATGATTTGAATGCGACGATCTTTCAGAGCGTGGTGTTGGAGCGTGGTCAATTCGGTTATCATCACCGTTTAACTCCATGTCGACACTTCTTTCATCCTCTTCTTTTTTTGAGCTCTTGGATCCTGTCGATTCGCGGTGGCGAACAGGCTTAGTGTCCCCACTAAAGCTCAAAATGAATTTCAATTCTGCTATAATCTCTTCTTTAAAAGATACCTTAAAATGCAATAAATAATCCATATCAAATGTAATGTTTTAGTAGAATATCATTTACTTGAGATTTTATTTAAAATATCATCCTTACTAATCCTTATTAATATTATGAAGGCGAAATTTTGTATGGATGGATGTTTGTTACTCTTTCACGCAAGTACTACTATATGGATTTTAAAAAAAACTTTATAATAATATAGCTTATACATCAGAATAATACATTGGCTATAATTTATGTACATATTTTTTGTATATCTGTCTCAACAATTTATTGCTCAATTTCACCAGACTTCAAACCCCTTCGACCGAGTTTCAGCCTTGCCGTGGCGGAGGGGCTTAGTAGCCGTGACTTGGTTCACCCAGCGCGAAGCTAAGTGGAACCCACACTGCGCAGTTAAGCGGTGAAGCCACAGACCAGGTCCGCCGCTGGGGGCTGGGAGGCTTGATTATTGGCACTGGCTCTCCTGGCTCTCCTGGCTCTCCTGGCAGCTGAGTAGGAAAGCGCGCTGAATGTTCCAGCGCGCCTTACCTGGATGAGAGGGAAGTTCCTCCCCGATAAGGAGCTGCTAAGGCAGCCAGCGCTGGCTGTTAGCCAAAGCGTCCCCGTGGCCCTGCCGATACGCGCCTATGTGGAACATTGGGGGGGCTTAAGTCGGTGCTAGGCCGACATAGCCCGCTCTTTCCATCGCGAGGGCGGGTATGCGTAGGCATTTCCCGCACGTTAACAAAAGAAAAGCATATAGAATTAATGGTGGTGGTCAATTTTAATATACCTGCTAAATCATCAATTTTCATCAAGAAAATGATAATTTTATTTTCAAAGTGGAAATACAAATTGTTCCAGAAAACAATTCCCATTGCAATTAGCGTATGAGAAACCTAATGTCACCGAATGTATATAAGTACTAATTAATGTTTCATAAATAAAAAAAATATTAAAAAATATTAGCCCATGTCAAAAAGTCTAAAAAAAACTGTTTTAAAAATTATGACCGGGAGAAAAACAACGCGAGCACTCACAAATCTCAACTTTTCGTTAATAAAAATAATCCTATGTTCTTTAATACCTCTTAGAACATGTGAACAAAGCGTCATGATAATTGGTTAAGTAGTTTTGGCGTGAAAGCGTAACAAACTTACAATCACATTTAACTATGATGCTAAAGTAGGCTATTTCACATAAAAAAAAGAAATGCCAATTCCTGTTACACACATACCTCAAAGCTTAAAATGTTTACCGAAAACTACATATTGTCATCAACAAAAATATATTTTTTTAAATCCTTCAGTTAAGATGGATGATTCAATCGTTACCTTGTTTTTGCGTGATATCATCCATACGTCGAAAATCATTTCAACGAAAGCGCAAACAACTGCCATAGCTGAACCAGCTGCGAGAACTATAAATACGCCACCCACATTAGCTAATACCAACGGCTGAGCATCACCGCTACTTGCGTCGTCATCCTTTAAAAAATATGTTACAATATAATACTTTTGCTAAAAACTCTTTTTAATATTTATTTTTATTAACAAAATTTTGTTAACTTGAAATGTTTTGTTGGTTTTGGTTTTCTAACAAAACAGTAAATATTGTACCGAACATGCACCACCACCTCTCTTTTCTTTCCACCACTTGTCTTTCATTCGTGTTAACTTGCCCTCTTCTTGCAGTTGCAAAATAGACTCGCTCATTGGTTGCCTATACGGTGAGTCTAAAATATTTAATTTGTGTCAATAATCAATTATTATAATTAAAAATTATTTGTTGTAGTATTTGAATTTAGAGAACTCTTACTTTTTTTCATTGCGATTCCATATCCTTTGTTATCCAGCAAACCTCCTACTTGTGAAACATCGCAATTCCTTTCAACCATATATTCAATCGATGTTGATTCCATTAAAAAGGCATAATTTTCTTTTTCAGATTTAACTCTGAAAATTATATTAAAACCCGAAACCCGATTAACTTTTTTGAAAAAGAAAATTGAATTAAATTAATTTTGAAAAAATTATTTCAAAACAGGACGAATAAATTATTTCTATTCAAGTAAGTGCTGTAAAAATACGGAATAAGAAAAATAATTTTACAACTTTTACCTCATTAAACCTTCATCATTTGTCGAGGTCATTAATTCGGGATGATCATCCATATACTGGTACATTTTTTGATAGAGCAAGTTATCAGATTCCTATAAATAGAACATTTTAACCTTTTACTCATTACCCAAAATATATGGCGTTGCAAATTAGAAACAATTATTTTAACCAGACTAAACTCACTTTGAAAAAACTATAAGTAGCTCCTCCTTTTTTGGCTCCGTAGGTTACGCCGTATGGATTACTGGCTAAATCTGATACACTTTTGATTGCATAAAATTTTGATTCGACCGTCAAGAAAGCAGCTAAATTAGCAGTATATGATGAAACCATAATTAATGTGAAAAACCACCACATGCTGCCAGCCATTCTAGTTGACACAGCTCTAAAATTAAGTAAAGTAAGAATAAAAAGTAAGAAAAAGAAAATAATATGCCTTTTATAAACTGAACATGGACAAAAAATAGGTTTCTTACATAGGAGCAATTTCCGATCCCTGTGTGAGAACGCTCCCCAGAGTAAACCAGAAAGCGTTGGCTAAAGTAAATTGGTTGTCTAAAGTCTCTGGTTCTTCTATACATGGATAAGGATTTTGCCACTCTTCTGGGGCGAATCTTCCTAAAATAAACAAAAGAACCGAAACACCGACATAAGCTCCTGCTAACCATCCCCAGACCTAAAATATGCATTTTTCTATGATTTAAGAATTAAACTGAAGTAGTATTGATTGAGACAAAAATATTTGCACAGTATAAATCTAACCTCTAAAGAAAATGGCGATATAAAAGAAAACAAATCTGGTGGTTGTTTAGTTGGTTTCTTGTACAGTATTGTTATACCTAGGTTCATGAACGGGCTGGTAAAATCGACAACCTTTTGTCGCGCTGAGGTAATCGTTAAGTCAGTTATAGCGAAGTCGGCTGTCTGAAAGTCAAATTAAAAATTAAATATTTTGATATTTCTTTGAGTTCCGAATGTATGAAAAATAAAAGTTTAACAATTACCCCTTCCATTATTTTTGCCATCATTCCAGTCCACTTTTTTGCTTTCGTATCAAATGATCCATAAACACCATCAGCTTGAATGTCAAAAGTGTAATTAAACTCATTCATTTTTGCAAGTTCTTCGATTAATTCAATGCCAAAACCTTCATATCGACTATTACCTTCTAGTTTACTTGATGATTCTTTGAGCATTCCGTAAGGCGCACTCTGTTTAAACATAACTTACATATTAATTATAGCACAGAAAGTTTGATATCGTTTAGTTGGATTAGAGAATTAATAGCTTTCATTTTTATTTTGGTCGATTAATTAATTATAATAGTAATGTTTCAAGTAATATTATCCTGCATTTCTACTGCATCATTTTTGTTATCCTTTTATAATTTACAGAGGGGTCCCTTAATCAGCAGTGAGACAAATGAAAAAACGTTTACGATAAAAGTAAGCTATAAATCATACAAACCAAAGCAGTGAGTATAATAAAGTGTTTGCCTTTCATAGAATCACTTCCTTCTTCTTCAACCTGCGGTATGATGATCCTTGACTCGGCGTATCCTTCATCAGCTGTCCATGTCCCGACCTATGATTGAAAATTAAATGTAACACGTTAACGTTAATAGATATTAAAAAAAAACCTTATACTAGATGGAATACCTTTTCAAGGCCATGCGACATTACTTCAAGGACATCAATTTCAAAATCGGCCCGTAATCCATCTTCATCAAATTTAATAATACCAGTTAGCCCGTCTATATCCATCTAAAATTAAGAAATACAAATTATCATGAAATATAAGAACAGGGTTTTTCTCAAAGCAAAAATAAAGGCCTCAGGGTATAGGATAGGGGCTTTAACTGCTTCCCCTAAAAATACTAACCATTATCTTTTTAAATTTTAAAGTTTTTTATAGTGCTAATCTCTGAACCTAAGATTGAACATTAAAACATTTTCTACATGTTCGAATTATCGTTGTAAAACGATATTCGAAATTGTTTGTATGCTATTTTAACGGTGGTAGGGCCACGGAGCAGCCTCGGCTGTTGCACGAATGGGCAGGCCCGTCCGGGTGGGTACCACGACCTCACAGAAGACCAGCGTAAAGTGGAAGTATGAAAAATACTTTCGTTCTGGGAGTGATTCCCAGCCGGAGCCGACAATTTTCAAAAGGTACTTGTCAACACATCTGTAACCCTCGGGTGTAGCAGATGTCCAGGGCGGCGGTATTCACTTACCATCAGGTGAACCGTCTGCTCGTTTGGCAACTTTTCACATAAAAAAAAAAAAAAAAAAAAAAAATGCTGGAAAGGATATAACAATAGATTCGCCAAGCATTGCTTCAAATGCTAAATAACAATGTAGAAAGAAGGCGTTAAGATTTTCATCGCTGTGGCTATCAGCCGTTTAGCTCAGTGGCTAGAGCGTCAGGCCGCGAATGCCGAAGACGTGGGTTCGATTCCCACAGCGGCGACAATCTTTTCGTACTTTTTCTACATGTTTTAACATTATCTTTTTACTTACAGTTCTTACATAATTTATGATACTTGATCCAAAGTTCCAAGTTTCTTTATTTTCGCAAGTAATATTAGCGCTTTCTTCAATTCCAATTGCATTTAATGCCGATGTATATAACAATATGGAGTCGTATATCAAAGCCAAATTAAAGCTTAGTCCAAATTCCGGAATGGCATTTTCAATGTTTCCTTCAGATAACTCCGATATTTTCTCATTTAACGCCTTTACAATATTTTTAATAGTCTCTGAATTTTGATCAAAAAATCGTATACCTGAAATAAAGGACAAAATAATTAATATTTTTTGCCGTCCCTATTTTGGACTAGTCGCTTATACCTGTAATGTTTGATCCTCCGTGTTTAAATAGTTCCATATCGACAGTTTGAAAATCAGGATTCATAATAATAAAACTGTGTTCATTGGACATAATTCCAACTTGCTGAGCTTGGAGAAGTATTTCCGGTAAATTTTCTCTTCCAGTAATTAATAGATAATTAGTGGAACCAGACATTTTTATACTTTTTAAATGAGGTCTGCAGAAAAAGAAATTGTAATTTGACAAATATTTCCTCTACAATTTATATTGAAATTTAAAAACATAAAAACAAGCACCTGCCTGTAGTCATTGCTATCGGGTAGTTGAACAACATTCATTATAATGCTTTCGTCGGTTATCAAATTCTGCATAGTTAATATATTATCCAGAAATGGTAGAAGCTCGGCGCCTTCGTAAATTATCGTAAAATCCGTCCAACCTTTAAATTTAATTATGTCGGAGAATACCTAAAATCGCAAAGTACAATTTTATTATATTTATCAAAGTCATACAATGTAGCTGTAATATTGCTTTACCTGAGAATAAGCTATATGACTTGGGTATAAGTTTATTACGGACCAATTACGATTTTGTGTTTCTATAAACTCGGTGATAATTTGAGGCATTTCAATGTAATCGGCTAAAGACTGAACATGTTGCAGGGAGTTTCTGTGAATTGGGCCAAATATGCCCATAACGTTCATCTGAAAAATATTTCATAAAATCTTTAATGCGTTAATGACATGTCACTACGTTAGATAAATTAAAATCTACATGACATAGTGACGATTTACTTCCAATAGTGTACATAATGCATTTTCTGCTTCCACGATGTCCCCAGGTGAAGTTTTTACGACATTTGCAACAAATGGGTTTTTCTGATTTTCTGATGCCGTTTTTATGGCCACATTAAATACAGCTTCATATAAGAAACTGCCATCATCAAATATCGCACCTGTCGTTGGTTATAAAAAGATTTTTAATATTTTATACGTTAATATGAAAGGATATAAAAATTGTATAAAATACTTACCGATATTTCTGTCTGCCACAGTAAAAATGTTGCAACTCTGTAGAAGAACTAATAAAACGGTAAAGTATTCTTTTGATGACTTCATTTGTAATATCTCATTCTAATCCGAGCTTTTATAGTAATTTTCATAGCTCTCTAACAGTAACCCACTTTAGTTAACAACAGAGAAGCTATACTGCGTAACTACTCATTGGGAAACGTACAAACAATAATATTAGAACCGATTCTTCATTAGCAATAGTGTCGCACATTCGCAGTACTTGGCCTGAATTAGAAATAGGCAAAGTGCCCTAAATTAGAGTACATGCACTTTTGTCATTGGTGTTATCCGAGTATCTAATATTGTGCCATCTTTTAATCAAGTTATTTTACGATGCTGATAATAATTGTCTCAAAGACTGTTGTTTATGTTCTGTACTGTACTCAAATGTATTAACCTACATCTATATATTTATACTTTTTATACATTACTGATCAATTTTAACTCACGTGTGACCAATTTTAATAAATAAATTGAAAAAAGTATTTGTTATAACGACATCTATCGAAATATAACAAAATGAACGTGAACTTTATTTGTATAGCATGCATAGCAATATTGGAGAAGAATTTTAATTAAAGTGTACTAGATGGCAATGTCACTAATGAGTGTATTTATAGCAATGCTACCTATCTAGAAAACAGTTAATTTCAGTCACGCTTGGACTTGTTAAGTTAGGAAATGAAGTAATGCCTATACTTGTTTCAGTTGCGTGCGTTAACGAGTTTTCTGTAAATTTTTAGTTCAAGTAACATAAAATCATTAGGTTAAGAGAAAATAAATATTTTTTTTACCATGTATCACTGTATCAAAGAACCGATAACCGATGTGGAAGAAAGGTTCTTGAGCGGCAGCCTTGTACTGGCCATTGCAGTTTAGGTAGACCCCTCACTAGATGGAGTTACGACCTGTGCAAATGTGCGGGAAGTCGATGGATAATAGATGTGGCTGATGTTCGTGTTTCATAGCCTTATGTGGGGGAGGAAGAGGCTTATGTTCAGCAGTGGACTTAACCAAGCTGAAATAATCATGATGTGAGTGTACTTACATTAACATCACATTATTTCGATATATACTTTTATACTGTTTCGATAATATTAATGTAAACTAACTAATATCAATACTTTTCATCTTAAGTTGGCAGTTCTTATGGTTTAAATAATTTTTCAATATAAATAAACGTATAGAGAGGTAAATGAACGTTCATACCAAATAAACATAAGTCGATTATCTTAATACGCCTTACAGTTCAGCGACGAGAGAGCTTTTAAAGGCCATTAATTATTCTAAGAGGTACGTACTTCTTGCTAACAGTTTAATGTTAATCTGTTACATTCTATGGATACCATTTAACATTTAAACATTACTTTTTGTATTATTTTGGAATAATTTTAATTTTCAACTTAAATCCGACGTTTTATTATAACGAGCTAACTGTACATTCATTTTTTACGTAATAATTAAAAAAATAGTTTTCAATGGACGAGCAATTCACGTACAAGTTGATGCGCATTATATTAACAATGTACATATAGAAATTTCGACTGGGAACATAGACTGAATCCGCTACTTCGGAAAACTCCCAATCGAATCACGCAACAGTACAGTACGTCTTGGTATCTGGTTAAAACATAATTACTGGCTCTGATGCACGGTCGTCAAGCGATTGGCTTGCGGGTCATAAGTTGGAGTATTTTTTGATCTGATGTTATGTGAGGCCACAATGCATCTCCAGTGGAACTAGACTATTATGCCATTATATAAGCTATTTGTGTTCTAAACTGATAATTAACTTTTCAAGTACTCATTTCTAGACTTTTATCACGAGAGATTATAGTTATTTTATATGTAGTAGTGTCGCATAAATTGTAATTATTTATAATCTTGCAGTTTATCCGATTTTAAATTCTCGTTCAGCTGAATCTTATATCTAGCATCACGTATTTTTTATATTTTGTTTCTATCCAATGTTTAATGTTGCCTTCACACACTTGTTCACGACTTCTGTTATGACGACTCAATTTCTTGCAAACCCTTTAGCTAAGAATTTCCTTATGAAAGAGAATACTTACCAAAAGATGGCCATAAAACCATTTTACGATACGAGGTATTTTATACACAAATCCAGCCAATGCTTTTGGCAGAGTGGGCAAAGCACCAATCTATAAATATCACTACTAAGAATATGAACGTCAGAAAAAGTTATATAAATTTTATTTTCTTAGTACTCATAATATAAATAATAATTATTATCAATGTGATCGAAACTTATAAGACTATGCTTTTTAGAGGTTTCTATACTGCCTTACTGTGTTTGTAAATAGAAATTTGAAACTTGTAATTTTTGTTACGTTCAATTTCTGTTAATGCCATAAACGAAGAATAGTTAACGTGTAGTTATAGGCCAACTTATAACTAATCATAACTGATTTAAGATCGCGTTTAGAAATGAAAAGTCTTTATAGGTGGTACCGTCTATTACGTTCAATCTTAATGACATAGTTATTCAAGCGTAAGTGTACGTAAGTGTAAACTTCTTCTCATTACCATCTCAGATGACGGTACTGAGAAGAATTTTACAGTGTTAGGACCAAGCAGCAGCTTCTCCGTTCGGATAAGGCAGATGTAACGTGTAATTTATATACTTCGGCGTTTTCTTTGGTTTGTGACCTACTTCAAGTTGGCAACGCATTTATAACCCAGAGGTGTTGTAGATTTTCATGGGCGCCGGCGTGCCTTTAACGTCAGGTAAACCGGTTGCTCCTGAAATGCTCTTTGCGCCTAAGAAAGAATGAATTTAAGCCAAGAATTTTTATTAACATAAAATGAAAAATGCAAAGAGTAAATGTCATGGTAAGTGACAGTGAGTAAGGATCAACACCTAAACAAAATACCAAAGATGTTGCAGGTGCTTTTCTAACCACCGAGTGTGTGTGCTTCCGGTACTCAATTCAAAGAAACGCAAACTCATAGATACGAGTATCAAGCCCTCACCTATGGAATTGTCGATCTTCCTCCGGACCTTCACCCGTCTCTGTAATGGATAAAAAGTTATATATATAGGTTACCGGAAAAATTTCAGTCCAGAATTTGATTAATATAATATTTAACATTTTTAAACACTGCAGTTTTTAATATACAAATTGTAAGCTGATTTAAAGTATGCAGTCCATAGATTATGCATACAAACCTCAAACCTATTCCTGTAGCAAGAGCTTTGATATAACCTTTTTTAATTTTTTTAAGTGTTTACTTTTTATATATATATATATAACGCACACATGTGCGTTATATTGTAATTGTAATGCGACTTTATTAGTTTTAAGGACTGTAACAATACTATTTCAAGTAAGTAAATAATGTCGGATACATTATAAAATTACTTGCTAGGTTCAACCAGAAATTATTCCGCAGTTTATTTTTTGTAAGCAATCAAATATGGAATAAAATAGAATTTAAGAAGAAGCTTTTGGAAATTAACTTTTACCCTTATTCGTTGTGTTTCGTTTTAAAATCTTCTAATAATGGTTTAAAAATAAAAGAGTTACTTCTTTATTCATCGCAATCCATCTGAGCTTTATCCATGATTTATCTGATTTCCGCTGACATTAACTTTTGAGTTTATAAATGGTAAACTCATTCGTACACTTCAAAAAAGTTCAAGCCCAAGTGAAGCCAAATATAACCTCCTAATATCTTGACTCCTTATAATTATATATACTCAACATTTTTTTATATTTATACATACAACAAGGACATTTTCACTACATTCTTACAGTTTTACTTATAAAAAAGGCTGTTTATTAACCACACAGGCTCGCACTCACGCACGCACACACAAACACACAACACTACAGATTATAATGTATTTTACGGCTATTGAACAGTAGTATTAGTAAAAAAAATTACATAGTTGTAACTTCTTTGATGGCTTAATATTCCTCTTCATTCTCTTACATGCTGTGAAGTTAACTATTAAAGTAAATAAATAGGACTAATGGTGGACACGATACGGAGAGGTTACTATGGTCTTTACGGGCACTATATAGATAGCATTTGCTTAGAAATGCAATGGAAAGTAAACCAGCTTCATCGAACTACCCATACGTGTTGGGTAATCTTTAACAGGACTGACCATTACTGGCAATGGCAGGCAGTGAACAAATTTTCTCCGATGAAATTACACATATACATACGTAAAGACTGACTTTGATGAGTAATATGAAAACAAGTAGAATGTTTTAAGGGAAATAATTTGAATAAATCCCTTTTTATTGTTGAGTCTCTGTCATGTTTTGAGCAATAAAAGATCCCTTGGATCGTACGGAGTAAGTTTCCATCGAAAACGGCTTACTGACTAGGCTCATATATTCTATAACCTGTATTTGCGGATTTTGGTGAAAAATCATATGTTATGGACGAAAAGTTCTGACCCAACCGGTCTGGCTGCATGAAAGCGTATTGGAGGTCCGTCGTCCTTTGGACTGGCCAGCCAGAAGTCGAAGTTCGATGCAAAGCCTGGATCTGATCGATATCGATGCAACTGACTCCATAGATCACCAGAATAAAAGAATTGATCATCGCGGGTTGGGAATTCTACAAGAAATAATAAGGTACAGGTAGGAATTCTAGAAGGAATAATGCTGATACAAATACAAGTTGTGTTTTAACAAGCAGGGACCACCCTCAACTTTATCTGCTTTATTTTTCAATTATTTGTCTTTAACAGTTTCAATTTTTATCAGCCAACAGGTACAATTTTAACCGATTACATACAATTTTAATTAAAACCTTTGAAGTTTAACATTATTTTGCATACATGTTATAAAATTCTGAGGTTGCCAGTATTAAAGAAATATATTTATTCTTTTTAAAAATTATAAGAATAAATATTTTCAAGTTACAAAATTTTAGACAAAGATTTTTTTGCATAAGTTACGAGTACGTCAAATGTGACTGTTCATATAAATATGGTATTCAAAATGTACATAGAGTGTGCCGATTGTCAGTAAGCAATATAATCGTCTACATTTTTAACTACATTT